CAAAAATAAAAAAAAAAAAATCTGAAAGAAACCTGTAGGAGAAAATACATTACCTATAATGGAGCACAAACAAGATTACATTCTAAGAAATCATGGAAACAAAGTTGAGAGAAAAACCCCATCCTCCTAAAATTTTATACCTTGCAAAATTACCCTTCAAAGGTGTAGGAGAAATAGAATTTCTCAGACAAACATAAATTGAGAAAATTTGTTGCCAATAGACCTGCCTTGCCACGAATATTAAAAGAAATTTTTTTTTTAGAGAGTAGATGATACAGGTAAAAAGCTCAGATCTAAAAGAAGAATGAAAAGGCAACAGAGAAAAAATAAGTGAAGGTAAAGTGAACACTTAAATTTTTCTTATTTTTAATTGATAGAACAAATAACAGTTTGTTCAAAATAATGAATACATTGAATTCCATTTACATTTTATATGTAGCGTGTGTGTGTATGTATGAATATTTAAAAAGTCATAGTAATGATACAAGGGACAGGAGAAGGGAATTAAGATTATTTTATTATTTTAAGGTGCTCACATGACCCATGAAACAAGATAGTATTGTGTGAGAGTGGACTTGGTTATATCGTAAATGTATATTGCAAATCTATCTAGGGTAATCACTAAATAAATGTGCAAACATCACATGCATTCCTATACACCAATAACAGACTTAAAGAGAGCCAAATCAAGAACAAACTTCCATTCACAATTGCCACAAAGAGAATAAAATACCTAGGAATACAACTAACAAGGAACGTAAAGGACCTCTTCAAAGAGAACTACAAGCCACTGCTCAATGAAATAAGAGAGGACACAAACAGATGGAGGAACATTCCATGTTCATGGTTAGGAAGAATCAATATCATGAAAATGGCCATACTGCCCAAAATAATTTACAGATTCAGTGCTATCCCCATCAAGCTACCAATGACCTTCTTCGCAGAACTGGAAAAAATCACCTTAAACTTCATATGGAACCAAAAGAGAGCCCGCATAGCCAAGTCAATTCTAAGCAAAAAGAACAAAGCAAGAGGCATCACACTACCGGACTTCAAACTATACTACAAGGCTACAGTAATCAAAACAGCATGGTACTGGTACCAAAACAGAGATATAGACCAATGGAACAGAACAGAGGTCTTGGAGGCAACATAGCATATCTACAACCATCTGATCTTTGACAAACCAGACAAAAACAAGCAATGGGGAAAGGATTCCCTGTTCAATAAATGGTGTTGGGAAAGCTGGCTAGCCATGTGCAGAAAGCAGAAACTGGACCCCTTCCTG